CCCCCCCCCCCCCCCCCCGGGGGGCCGGGGGTGTTAGGTACACTACCAAAATGCATTTGATGCAAGGTAAAGAAAAATTCTGATACTTTTGTGGCCATATGTCTTGTGATATCCCTTTAAAGAAACTGTATAAACAAGCTGTAAAGTTTCACACCTCTCGTGTCATTTTCTCAGAATTGTTCCTCGCTTTTGTATTTCTTCCCCATTGAACTTGATAGTTACAATGATAATTATCTTAAACGTCGAGGATCCAACTCCAATACTTTTTCTCTTTTAAGTTATTCCTTTGAAGCTTCTCTGAAATTTCTTGTTTTCTTTGCAAAAACAACCCTTCAGAAAATGGCAGAGGACAAAGTTATGTATATCAACTGTAGATTGTAGCCTTCACTCAAATAACTTGTTCTTTAATCCCTTTTCCTGCTGGGGCAGCTCGTCGTTCATTGCATCTTAATGTTGTGCATGGTTCGAGGTAGCATTATGGATTATGGTCATCCATCAAAGGGTACTTGAGATGCATCGAATCTGGCGTCATAAGAGTTGTATTTGAATGATATGCACGAAATGATAGAGAGAATCAATAAACACGACATGAGATTTAAATAATATTGTGAAGTCGCGATAAAATCTCAGTTGATTCGATAACAATGTCTCGTAAGATTAGGGTTGCATCGAATGATTCTGCTGAGGCGGGTGAGATTTGGGGTTTATACATAATGTGGAATTGTATTGGAGCAAAAATTATTGAGTCAGAATACTATTAGACCGAATCGTACAAAATCGAAATCATCTAATACTAAACTATAACATGGTAGGTCCCCATAATCCTCCTAACTTGTTTATTTAATTTTGGTGTAAATGGTTTATTTTCGATCGAATTAAAGAAAAGATTAGTTGATGTATGTATATGTTCGTCCGTAAAAAAAAATAAATAAAAAAATTTAGGTATATGCCTAAGGTCACTTCCTTCCAAAAAGTAGCACGTAGCATGAATGCTGGAATCAAGCAGCCATGATGATATACAATTGATCATATTTTGGCTGCTAAACAGAGTAGAAGTGGGCCACACCCTAATGCAGATGGACCAACCTAGAGCTCACATGCATTAGCAAATCATCATTGTTTATAGACCAAATTGGATTTGTTCTTGAGTA